CAACCAAGGCGTATTTCTACTATTGGCTTAGCTGAGAGAATTTCTGAAGAAAGAAACGATGATCTAGGTAATGAGACCGGGTATATCATTAGAGGCGAAAATAAAACTTCTAATGAAACAAGAATATCTTTCGTTACTACAGGTGTTTTATTAAGAATGCTCCAATCTCTTATGACCTCTTCGGATCAAAATGAAACTGGGATTTTTAATAAATTGCAATACATCTTCATAGATGAAGTACACGAAAGATCCGTTGATAGTGACTTCCTTTTGGTTATTTTGAAAAAGATAATGAAGAAATTTCCAAAATTAAAAATTATCCTAATGTCGGCCACCATTAGTGTAGATAAATTTCGCAATTTTTTCAGCTTGGATCTAAATCATATTCATATTGAAGGACGAACATTTCCTATCAAGGACTATTATTTGGATTCAATTTTAAATGACTTGGATTATACCATTTCTACAAATGATCAGATTATAAAGCCCAAGGCAGATTCTCATTTTTTTAAACAAGGAAATATTAATTATGATTTAATAGCAAGTCTTTGTTTAAAGATCGATAAAGAATTATCAGACGACAGAAATAAAGGATCAATATTAGTATTTTTACCCGGTATTATGGAGATTAATCAATGCATTAGAAACATTGAAAAGGCTTTCGATAATGGCGGAAGGAAAAATTGGTGTTTACCTTTGCATTCGGCATTATCTTCCATAGATCAGAAGAGAGTTTTTAAAATTCCCCCGAAAGATATCAGAAAGATAGTGGTTTCTACTAATGTAGCTGAAACTTCTATTACAATCCCTGACTGTGTTGTTGTCATTGATAGCGGAAGATCAAAGACACTATTTTTTGATTCCAAGGTACATACAACAAAATTAATTGAGAACTGGTGTTCAAAAGCAGAGGTTAGTCAAAGAAGGGGTAGATCAGGTCGTATAACCAATGGTAATTGTTACCACTTATATACAAAAGAAACCGAGACTGAGATGCTTGATCAACCAATTCCCGAAATCAAGCGAACAAGATTGGAGAATTTATATTTAGTTGTTAAAGCCATGGGTATTAAGAAAGTTGAGGAGTTTTTGAATGGCGGTTTAGATCCCCCGGATCAACATTCTTTGTCCAAATCAAAGAAAGTTTTAACAGAGATTGGTGCATTGAATAAGGATACTCTATCTCATCTAGGTAAATATTTGTCATTGCTACCAACAGATCTACTTAGTGGTAAATTATTGATTTTTGGATGTATATTTGGATGTTTAGAGGTCTGCTTAACGTTGGCAGCAATACGATCAACCGGAAGTCCATTTTTGAATAATTTTGAAAATAGAGAAAGAATCAAGCAGATACAAAAGTCATTTTCCAAAGGTCAAGGGGATTTAATTGGAATGGCCAATGCATTCAGGCAATATGAAGATTTGAAAGGCGAAAGTAAGAATGCAAAGAAATTTCTTAACGAAAACTTCTTATCATATTTGACTTTAAAAGAAATTGCTTCAACAAGAACACAATATATTTCCATTTTGAAAGACATCGGGTTTGTTGCTATAAACTACAACTCAAGAAATACAAATCATGAGGGCTACAAGTCACTAAATAGGAATAACGAGAATTATTCTATTGTAAGAGCAATTATTGCATCATCGTTCTATCCTCAAATCGCCAGGGTGCAGCTTCCTGACCCCAAGTATGTTCAGTCATTAGTGGGGGCTATTGAAATTGATCCTGATGCTAAACAAACGAAATTTTGGATTCGGAATGAGAATTTTATTGACAATGTTAATAATGGAGTCGAGGCAAATGATGTTTTACCAGCCACAAGGGCATTTCTTCATCCTTCGTCTGTCTTATTTGAGACAAATAATATGAATGATTCTAATACACCTAGCAATGAGGATTTTACTAATGAGGAAGATATCAATAAAGTCCGACAAATGTATAAGGATCTTAAACCTAGAGTTCCAGGTAGTAGTAATGCCGCAAAAGCAACATTTGTAGCTTATGGCACTTCCCATTACACACAAAAGCTCTATTTGCGTGATATAACCCCAACAAGTACGATCGCGGCATTATTGTTCGGAGGGGATATCGCCTACGACATGACAAGCCAGGTTACTTCTGGAAAATCATCTCCAGGTATCGTATTAGATAATTGGATGCCTATTAGAACCTGGTGTAAAAATGGTGTTCTTATAAAGAGACTTAGGATTTTGCTAGACTCCTTGATCGAAGATAAACTCTCAAATCCCCATTATTCCGGGAATGAAGATGGTTCTTCCAGTTCTAATGACGAAATATTGGCTGTAATTGAAAGGATCTTAAATATTTGAAGAAATTCACGTGATATCACTAATTGTATTTCTAATCAGTATAGAAATATTTGATCTTATCATAGTGTATAATAGAATAGATAGAAAATAAACTTTGATAGACAAGATAGACAAAGCGTAATTGATGATTCGGAAAGTTTGGAATGAGCAATCCAAACAACGTACGTACAGATAACAGAATAATGAATCATAACGAGCTGGTTGATTCGCAAAATGAAGATCAAACAGATTCACTTCTTTCTACATCAAGCTCTGTCGTTAAAAGAAATCATAAAAAGATCTATGGCTCTACGGACGAGGAAAACTTGCAGTCTGTGGAGTTGGATAGTGATATATTAGAGTTACCAAAGGTCGTTCGAGAATCTGTTCCCTTAGAAGATGATCCCAGTATACCAGTAGTGACGTTTCGTTATTTTATACTATCTACCATTTTTATTGTACCTGGAGCGTTCCTTGATACTATGAATTCATACCGCACAACATCTGCAGTATATTCTATATTTTTTGTTCAGATTGTTTCCCATTGGGCTGGTAAATGGATGGCGAAAACTCTTCCTAAGAAGAATGTCAATGTGTGTGGCTTTGAATTCAATTTAAACCCAGGTCCTTGGTCCATAAAGGAAACAGCAATGATAACAATCACTGCTAATAGTGGTGCAACTGGAAATTTAGCTACTAACGCTATTTCTTTGGCTGAGTTACATTTTAATGAAAAGGTAAATGCAGCAATTGCAATACTATTTATGTGGGCCATTGTGTTTATTGGATACTCTTATGCGGCCATAGCTAAATGTTTTGTTCTATATGACCCGAAGTTTACATGGCCTCAGGCTTTAATGCAAACTACTCTCTTGCAATCACAGGCCAAAGCAGACAGAGATTCAAAACATGGCTCCATACAAATGAAAGTATTCTTCTACGTATTATTAGCAGTTACAATTTGGGAATTCCTTCCAGAATTCGCTTTTCCACTCACGTCGTCTTTGGCAATACTTTGTTGGATTGCCCCCTATAACAAAACGGTCAACTTTATAGGATCCGGGATGGGTGGTATGGGAGTTCTCAATTTTTCCTTAGACTGGGCAAATATAACTTCTTCTATTATGCTATATCCATACTGGATTCAGATTATTCAATTTTTGGGATTTATATTAGGTGCATGGATTATGATTCCGTTGGTGAAATGGGGTGGCGTTTCTTCATTTAAGCATGGGCTTATGTCAAACTCCTTATTCTTGAATAATGGAACGCGATACCCCACGAATGAGTTATTGACTGATGATTTGACATTGAATATGACCGCCTATAACTATTATGGGCCCGTGCATTTGGGAGCGCAGAGAGCGTGGAATATGTTTTTTGACTATGCTGCTTATATTAGTGGGATAGTCTGGGTTATATTGTTTGGCTATGACCAAATGAAAAGCTCTCTTAGTGTTTTGAGAAATACTTACACGACAGAGAATCAAAATGGTGGTTTCACTTCTATTCATTTACAGTATACAGATAGACTAAACAAATTACAATCCAAATATGAGGAAGTACCTATGTTGTGGTATTTAATTTTATTCATTATTTCATTTTCGACATTAATGTTTATTTTTCTATCAGGACAGATGTTTTTACCTTGGTGGTGTTGCATTGTTGCATTAGCTTTAGGCTCTATTATTGTTACCCCCTTGAGCTGGTTGTATGCATTATCTAATTTCCAATTAGCTATTGGTACTTTCAACGAGCTATTTTATGGTTATATGGTACAGAATATCAAGTCAGTCCATCCAGTAAGTGCAGTTGTATTTGGTGCAATATCAGGAAGTGCTTGGTATAGAGCTCAGTATCATTTGCTATGTATGAGACTAGGATTCTACATACACTTGCCTCCTAAAGCAGTCTTTTTTTCTCAAATATATGGGGAGATTATTGGTGTTCCATTCAACTACATTGCTCTAAGATGGGTTCTTGACACGAAGCGAGAATATCTTGATGGAACTAAAGAAGATCCCTTGCATCAATGGACAGGGCAAACAATTACGTCATATCACGCCAATGCAATCAATTATGTTATTTTGGGACCAAAGAGACTATTTTATCATTATCCGTTACTACCGTACGGCTTTCTTTTAGGAGCTATAGCTCCTGTTGCATTATATATTTTACACAGAAAATTTCCCAACTCACGGGTAAAGTTCCGTTTATGGAATACCACTGTGTTCTTTTCCACCTTGAGTACATTCTACGGTAACCTTTCAACTGGTTACACTTCTAAGTTTATAGGTGGAACAGTCACAATGTACTGGGCATACAATTATAGACATTCTTTGTGGAAATCATACAACTATATTCTTGCTGCTGCATTCGATACAGGGTATAATTTTGCAGTCTTGCTAATATTTTTACTTTTTTCATTTGGAAGGACAGTAAGGATGCCACATTGGTGGGGTAATAATGAACAGAGTGTCGAACGTTGTTTTGCTCTCTAACATGCTTGTACATACAGTTGTATAGACATAGATAATTTTATCATAATATTCATATAGCGAATCACGTGAAAATTTATTCAAAGGTTTCTCGTAGAATAAACCATTGAAGATATAATTAATATCACTATTTTGATTGTTATCACCAGGTACTTAATATTGAATCTATCTATCGTCGTTTACATAATGAATAACAATAATAGTGGTGAGAACATGAATACATCTGGAAATCCAGATTCTGGTTCCTCTACACCAAATATCCAGAATAGACAAATGCCTCAAAGACCCGTCTCAATTCAACCGAGTCAAGTGAATCAATTAGCTCAAGCGTTAAGAAATGAAGTTAGTTTAGCAAAAGCAGCGGGAAATGATATTGCGAAGGCTCAACAACATTACGCTAAGGCAGAATCCATTAAACAAGTGTTATTAAATTATAGAGATCAACAAAATGCAAGGAAAGCACAACAACAACAACAGCAACAGCAGCCTGCAGATACATCAAACCAGGTTAATCAACCAGCAAGTGCAGGTATTACTCCTATTAACAGACAATCATCTCCACAACCAACCCCACAAGGACAATCTCCTGTGCTTAACCAATCTCAACCAATACACCAATCTCCAGCTAATTCAGGTTCGCCGGCACCTACGATTCCACCAAATAATAATAATAATAATGCAGCTACGATCGAGAAATTTAACCAAGCGAAGGCACGCTTAGGTGAGTTTGAAAGGAAGATTCAGCAGCTTCAAAATAGTAAGAAATCTTATAATTTGAATCCAGAGCAAGTAACATCTATAGAAAGCCAATTGACTGAATTGAAAAGCAAATATGCACAATACCAAAGGTATGCTATATATATTAAGTCTCAATTAGTTGAACAGGCGAAGTCAAATATTACAAGTGCTCCAGGGACGAGTAATGCACCAACGCCTGGTACTGTTGCCAATCAAAGAGTTCCACTGACAGGAAATAGTGCTCCACAAGGTATACATTCTCCATCTATGCCTAAGCAAGGCTCTCTCCCTCCTGACGTCGGCAACTTGTCAAACAAACAAGTATCAGTCTCAGCCAAGGGTAAGTCTGTATCACCACCACCAACTAACGTAAATGCCACGCCTAGCAAGTCTGGACCTGGTCTGCAATCTTCTTCTCAGGGAGTACCGCCAATTAACTTATCAGGCATTACAAAGCCAAGCGTTCCATCGATTCCTATTTCTAGTTCCATAAATGTAAAGCCTCCGACTGCTGTGACATTGAAACCAACAAGCAACAATAATAGAGCCACCTTATCGAGTGGTGTTGCTAATGGTATAGGCCAAATTTTAGGGACTCCTGCTATATTAAAATTGCCAACGTACGATCTTTCGAGCTCTGGTGCTGGTGGTGCGATCCCAGATAATGGCGGTAGGGTCTTAACGAAAAGGAAACTATCTGAACTAGTAAATAATATAGGGGCTGATGAAGGTGATGGAAAGACTAACATTGATGGTGACGTTGAAGAACTTTTACTTGATCTTGCTGATGAATTTATAACCTCCGTTACGGGATTTGCTTGTAGACTAGCCAAGCACCGTAAAGTAGATTCTGTTGATGTCAGAGACGTTCAATTACATTTAGAAAGAAATTGGAATATTAGAATTCCAGGATATGCTATGGATGAAATTAGAACTACAAGGAAATGGCAACCAAATCCAAGTTATAATCAAAAAGTTTCTGGAGTTGAAATATCTAAATCAGTAAATGGAAATATTAATTAGTATACGACGTATATATTACTCTCTGCAAATAAAATATATCTATGTTATTATTCGCTGTGTTGATTTATATGCTTTATTATTCGTTTACCTTGTAGGTTTCTTTAGATGTTTCCGTTAAAACATTCTGCTTTATCCAGTAGTCTATAGCTTTTGAAGCGACATATGGCTGCATATCTAACTTACTAGCTATATTTGTCAACTCCAATTCATCAGCCTTGTCATGAAATAATGATATTATGGACGCTTTATCAGGTGTTACTTCAAACAGTAAATTAGTATTTCTTATCAGTAGTTCAAGCCTGACCAATCCGAGACTAGGGAGTAGCTTCAAACCTCGACCCTTTTTAACTTCAGCAAATTCTTTATCAAACTTTTCAAACTGATTAGAAATAGTATCAGGTAATTTGAAGCTGTCGTTATGGGAAATATTTTCACAAACTGTTGGCCAGTATAAATGAGAAAGAATCGTAGAGTGAAAAGTATATTCATTTCTGTAATTTATTTTTTCATTTGTTATTTTACTTTGTTCAATATCTTTAATCATAATATCTAACGTTGTAAATTCATTTTCTCCGAATCGTAATTTAAGTAGATCTAAATGATCAGTTATATTTTTGACGTCATAATCGTGCAAATTAATCAACCTCTCACCAAATAATTGAGTAAACTCGTTAATAAAAATTTCTTTCAGGTCAAAGATTGATATTAATGATTCTATTATATCAGTCATTTTACTCTTTTTGAAGTCAGGCAAGGCATCTATAGGATCAGGGACCCAAGTTAAATCCATAAGATCATCGGCCATAACTGTTTTTTTCGTCCCGTTTCTTAATTCCTGGGCTAATTCAAGTAAATCGTTGCTTTCACTTTGGTCCAATAAGCCATGTACTAGTTTAATAATAATATCTTCTCTTGTTTTTAAATATCTTCTGATTGGTCTAACTACTCTATCGAGTAGTACACCCTTTGGATCAATAATTAAAAATGACTTGATTGTAGATGTGTAACACGTAATGACATTTACAGTATTTGCTCCAGAATGAAGTAATTCTTCATGACATAATTGTATAAATGTATCCACCAACTTAGCTCTTTGGTATGCTTGAGAATTCGCTGAATTGTTTATAAGTATAGATGAGAAATTCGATAAAGTTATTAACGAATTTGCCGAACCAATCTCAGATGTATTTATGTTAGAATTAATAACAGTGCTCAAGTTGGATATATTGCTGCCGGTGTTATGAGAGTTGAACTTGAACAGAAGACATTGATGTAATTCTGATAATGCAATATAGGAATTTGGATAATCCACCACTAGGTCAAATATTTCTTTAATTCGTAATGAGACTAGTTCATCGTGAGCAATCTTGATTAAATCGTACAAATATTTCTCTGAAAAGTCAAAGTTTGATAGCCTCATTATCAAATTAAAACTGGGAAATAAATCCAGTTTAATCCAACAATTAATCTCTTCTAACAATGGTTTATCCCATACTTTTGTGCATGTGGCAAGTATATAATCTTTTATTTGTTTAATTGATAGGCGTATTATTATTGAATTTAATTCATCAATTAATTCAATCGATAACAAAACCAGAATGTAACCATGGACAGAACCATGTAAACATTTTTCATCACCAAATAACATTTCATATAAGTAATTAGTCAAGTTTTTTATGAATTTAGATTGCTTATTTTCGACTAATATTGAATGAAATAACGAATTTAGATTCCTATCAAGTATATCATAAGGCAATTTGTTTAAATTCAAATACTTGATGTATTGGCCGTAATAATCTTTTATAAACTTAATTTTATCTATCGCTTCGGTTAATGAAACCCTATCATCCAACAATACTGGTGATAGTTCTTTAAAAAATCTTGGTTTGATCGAATTTCCGTACAACTTGACAAAATCTAATTGACTCGCCTCGTCTCTGAGACAGCTCCTAATAGCAGATTTGACCCTTGGGGATGGCTCATTAAATACCCTATTGCCTGGCCAAAATGGACTTAGCCAATGAAGTAAATAATCAATATCATTTTCTATATTATTTGATTGTTGATCTGAATTTGATGAATTAGCCGCCAAATCTTGAAGAGTAGGAATTGGGATCACTTGGTTAAAATTTTCTTTCGAAAGAGGTATAGTAGTCATTATACTTCCTCAGAGTTATATTATATTGTACTGAACATTAGATGTTATATCATTTGAAACCCCGGTGTGTTTGTTGATTGTTTTCTAAACCTGAGAAAGAGACATGCGCTCACAAATTTTATTTCCCATATATCTATATTTCCACTAAAGAAGATTTAATATATTATTGGAAATGGTACGTATCGTATAATAATAAATCATAATAAGAAACATAAATACTAACATCCTTTTGAAAAGCCAAAGATATCTTCGGCGACTAAATCATCGTATAAGCTGCAGTTTGTTACCGTGACAGGAGCATCTGTCAGCTTAGCTACTCAGTGGTTAGAAAAATACGACTGGAAACTTGAAGAGTCCATAAATGGATACTTGAACCAAGATAGTTATTCAAGGGCAAGACCTCTTAAAATTGATTCGAAGTTGAATGCTATTTACGATAAATATAAAGACTCTAATAACGAAAATAAAATTGATATAAATGGAACCATTGCATACCTTGAAGATTTGAACTTCGATCCAGATCACCCTATAAGTTTAACATTAGCATTTTTTTTGGAAGCACCGACCATGGGTGTATTTACTAAAGAAAAGTTTTTGAATAAGTGGCAAAAAGAGAAGATTAGTTCCCTTAGTGGAATGAGAGAGTTTATTTTGAAGCTACATAATGACTTGGAAACCAACGATAACTTATTCCAAGAACTTTATAACTTTACGTTCGGTTTCTTAATGGAAGTTCCAGGTCAAAGGTTGCTAAATTACGAGTTAGCAGTGGATTACTGGAGATTACTTTTGATGAATAAAACGGAATTTGAGCCATGTTATACTAGATTAGAGCAATGGTTTGAATTTATATTGAACGAATATAAACGGGGGTTGTCAAACGATACATGGAAAATGTTCTATCTCTTCATTAAAACTATTGCATTAAAAGATCCATCTAATTTCGAAGATTACGACGAAATGTCTGCATGGCCCAGCGTTATTGACGAGTACATTGAATACTTGAAAGAAAATAAATTGTTAAATTAATATCAATACATAGAAATAAACAAAAAATTATACAATATATTCCTGTCCGACCCATTTATATATCAATTTAATAAACTGTCAATGCTAGATTTTCTTAAAGCTAACAATGTTTTTGAAGCATCTTGATCAGACAACTTATCTTCACGTATCTTATCGGAGGAAACACATTTAATATTTAAAGGACGATTGAACAAGACTGTATTGTTTGGTGGAATTTTGGTTCTGAATAGTTTCTTTTTTGGTCCATATTGGTATTGATTAGCTTCATCATTTTCGTACTCGGTAGGAGTCAAGGCAGGGTCCGGTAACTGGAACTTATTGAATTTTCCTGAACTAGAAAACTTCATTGGATTATTGTATGGAGAGTTATCAGTTGTCGTGGGACAAGAAAAGGTGGCTTGCAATCCGCCAGTTGGCGACGCTGAAGAAGCGTTGGATTCTCTGGCTACAGTCGTATACTTGTTCAACATTGATAACACAGGGGCCATATCTGGCGTTATATCTGGACTCAACAACTGGCTCTTATCGTCATTTACCGAATCTTCTTCGTAGTCTTCCTCGATCACGGTATCACGTTCTTTGGGACTATTAGAGAGAGGTGTATCTTGAATGCTTGTTATCAATTCCTTGAAGTTGAAATCCTTGTTTATGTTTCTATAAGTATTAACATCTAACGGGATTTTAGCAAAATCTATATCAAATTTATATTTGTTATTGTCCATGTTAGCGTCTATCAAATTGTGCTGTTGCTGTATAATGTGATGCAAGTATAATATGTATTCCACGGACGATTTCAAGATTGTGAGTTTGTACATCCCGTCAATCTTGCTTCCATTATTGGTACCTGCCCCATTCTTACTATTTGTTCCGCTACTGGAGGAAGTCAAACGACATGCTGGTATGAGATACTTTAATGCTTCAAATTCTCTGTTAATCTTTATTCTTCTCTTCTTTTCAATAATCGAATGTAGCTGCTTAGTATCATTTTTCCTCTTGAGAAGCTCATCGGAGTCCACATTGGCAGAAGATCTCCTCCTTTTCTTTTTGCCTTGAATACTACCCTCCGTTGATGCTGGAATGCTGGTAGTGGTCACACTAGTACTTTCCTTGTTCTGGTTATACTCGTTCGTCAAAATTTCATAATTGTTATCGTCCTGATCCAATTCCTTATTCAATTGAATGATCGTTGTCTTTAACACCGGTGGACTAGGCATAGTCTCCTTAGATTCATTCAACTGGCTCATCTTAGCGTGTATTTAATGTTTATCTATAATTTCCAGTCTCCTATTAGGCTCTTAGTGATGGTGGAGTGGTCTTCCTTTAAATATAAACTTCAATAGAACCCACGTTCCGATATCTCTCTAGCCTGCAAAACACGTTGCGGATATCACTTTACATTATGTTTCCATAATAAGCACTTTAGTACGTGGTTGATCAACGTTCTTTTAATATACTGTCACACGAGGTTGAAAATTAAACCCACGTGTGGATATATTGTTAATCGTTTGTTCGCTAACATTAATCATCTCATACTGTTAGGAATCCCTGCTCAAACGTCCAGCCAGTACTCTCTACTTAACATCCCTCCACGGGGCAAGTTTTTCCCATTGATGGAGACCCCCACAGGTATTTATGGATACTGTTGGTAGATGCGCCAAAAGGCTGCAATATGTACTAGAAGCAGCTTATTGAGAATGTTCGATACTGCATATTTACTGAGAAATATATTTAATTGGTGTACGGATGTGCGTATTCTCCAGGTACGGTAGGTGGGGGTATTTGTATTTGTATGCCGTATTTTAATATTGGGGGTTTCTAGGTTTTTGCAATCGTTTGTTTGTGGTTATTTGCAGCTGTTTTGCTGCATAAGTAGAAAACGTAATTAAGAGGCAATCGGAGCGACAACCTAGTGGATCTTGAAGGCTACGATTCAAAAATATAAAAGAAAAGAGATAGGTAGATACAGCGTCGAACAAATATTAAGAGAGGCATTGACAATGGGAACAGGGGCGGATATTATCAAAAAACTCACTCCGGCACCGATGCCAACGTTGAACGCATGGAACACGATTCGAGCGGGCAATCGACTTAAATCTGAGGGAGATGATTTAGAACTTGATGCAAAGGGGTCGAGCAAAGAGAACACGAATGGACTTAAGGATTCCTTAGAGTCCGCGAAACGGGGGCCGATTGAAAGGGAACAGAAGTTAGGAGCGGTAATGACTGCAGCAAAGACTACAGAAGACACAGATCGTGGTGAGCTAGTGTATGTGGGGGAAAATACAACAGTTGTAAGACCAAAGTTTAAGAACAAAACATGGTCTAGGAAGGATGCTACTTCGACGATTAAAGGTCGCAGTCGTCGAAGGGCGGGATCACATACTGCAATACACCCTACGACTTATCCTAACGTCACGATGACGAACGACCTCTTTGGAGGAGGAAATTTTTACCTGGGACCCGGAGGATCGTACGGGGGATATGCGTTTGGGAATCTTAGTGACCTTATGCCACCGACGTATACGCCGATGTGTGTTAATAATAACATACCTATGCCTATGCCTATGCCAACACATATGCCGGGACCCATTCCTATGATGGGAACTAAGCCTGATGGCTACCCAATGCCGCAGGGGAAGGGTTCTGACCCTTTTATGGCTCTACCTCCATCTCCAATGCACCCGTACTTTCACCAGCTATCACCCTCGCCTCCACTCGACCGGTATCAGATGCCATACAATCCATACTATCACCCAGCACACATACAGTTGGATCCCATGTCCAATCCGTACCGCATACAGGAGATTAAAAACCAAGTGCTTTATTACTTTTCGCCCGAAAATATAAATACTGATGAATACCTCAAGTCCTTGATTGATAATACGACTGGAGGTGTGCTATTGACAGAACTTATAAAATTTAAGCGTTTGAATATGATGACAAATAATGGTCGTGATATAATAATATTACAAAATATCATCAAATACGAGTGCTTTCCAGAGCTTGAACTCATCCAGATGAATGAAGGAATAGGGGTGAGAAGTAAATATTGGATAAATGGATTTAAGTAGTTTATTTATTTTACATTATTTACAAATATAGAAAGCATACTAGTTGATCGTGCATCGAGAATTTCGAGTAGTTTGTTTGCAGCAATCATAGCCCCATTGTCCATCAGAATAGTAGCTACCCCATATACTCTGATGATTCATAAAGTAATTGTCCTCGGGGTATATCGATCTCTTCAATCCATCTTTATCCTTATTTACAGGTTTCTCGGTTGTTTCAATCAGCTCGGTAACATTGACAAATTCGTTTGATTTGTTTAAAAACTCTCCTCCTCCATATTTAGCCACTAAGTCACTTTTTTTCTGATCATGGGATGCTTTTTGCTTTTCTTGCTGATGTCTAGCCTGAAGCATCATCGCTGTAGGATTAGCCTCCATATTTAAATTCAAATCTACATGATATTCATCAGATCCATCTTCTGAATTTTTCTTGCCTGTCAACTTCTGTTCGAACGCTTCCCTTTGTTTCATTTCTTGTTGTTGTCTATTCTGCTCCCACGCGAACCTTTGTAAATTATCCAATCGTTTCGCTTCTCCAGTCAATTTCTTCACGAATTGATTTTTGTCGTTTATAAATCCCTTTGATGGATCCTTTGTCAACCTCGACTTTGGATCATAATGTATTTTATTTGATGATGTGATGTTCAAAATGTATGCCGGTACGTCTTGTCTATCTCTTATCGTCTTTTCTAAAGGATCTTCTTTTAAATTATCTTTAATATCTTTCTGGTCTAATCCGAGCTCTATTAGCTCAAGCTCATAATCCGTATCATCGCTGTCTTCCTCCACATCAGCATTCTTCATTTTTTGTTTCTTATTCTTTATTTTATCCCAGTTTTCAGCTATCTTATCCCATTCTTGTGCTTCATAACCATGCCATCTATCCCTTTTGGAGTCATAATCTTCCACCTTTTTAATTTCCGTTTCACCTTTTATCTCAAATTCATCATTGATACCACTTCCAGGTTGTGGTATACTATGATCTTTGGCCTCATCGGCTACGTTAGACCTTTGATGAGATAAATAATCATCGCTTTTCTCATCATTCAGTTTATTATGATACCAAGGGACAGCCGAAATAAATTTCGGAATATAAGGATTCACTTCTTTACCACTCGAATCATATTCAGGTTTATGTTCTTGCGATGACATTCCATCAAATATTGTGTTGTAACTAATACACTGAATTTAATGAGCTTTTGATATTGATAAAATATATTACGCAAAATCTCGCTTGATCTTTTAATAATTCCTGGAAACTATATTACACTGTATTTTGAATAAATCTAATACAAAGAATATACTATAAGTCTATATAATGCTAATTAAATCCTTCCCATTCATCGTCATCTTCTTCACTATCGCTATCTTCACTTTCAAATACATTCCAATCCTTCAATCTCTCATCATTCAAAACTTCTTCCTTACATTTTTCTCTCAAAGTCTTCAATGGACATTCCTTACTTAATTTCTGGAATGGGGATATTAATTTTTGGATAGGAACATCTGAAGCAATGTCTATCTTCAGTTTGACTAATTCTTGATATTTATTCATATCTTTCTTTTCTTGTTCGTCCAATGCTTCTTGTTTGTCCTTCAATTCTTCAAATATCACTAATTCTAATTCATCAAGATAAATATCACAAATGTGGTATGGTAATGCAACACTTACCGACTTGTCACCGCTCAATGGGTATTTTTCATAAACAGATAAAAATGAATCTACGACATTCGGCGACCACTTTTCAGTCTTCATACGCTTAAAATTATGTCTCAATATTCTTCTTATAAGCAAGTAAAACTTATCTACCCTCCACTGATCGACATTTGGCCATTCTCTTATCATAATCACCCAGAATGCCTCCGTAAAATCACTGAAGGCCGCTACAGGAATAATGTCAGAATATAATTGTGCCAAGCTTTCAGCTAACCTCTCTTGCGGCCTAGGTCTGTCACATAACCACATTGAATAGTATAAACCTTTCCATAATTTCTCCATTTCTAACAAAGTCAATTTGGAAGAGGAACGAGACGATAAATATTTCCTCAATGATTCAAAAGCAGCATCTCTTATTTTACGATCATTGGCGGCCAATTTCTTTACAAAACCAGATGTTTGCGACATGACAATATTAGATTTGAAGTAATGTTGAAACAAAGGAAGCAAATACTGCTTAACAGTGTAGATGTAGCTCTCATAGCTGAAAAAAAAATTCTGATGAGAAGACGTCACGTGCCACTACTTATGGCCAGAAACTAAACTAAACAGTACTATTATAGATGAGGCAATTATACTTATATTGGCATCATTAAACTAGATAATTAAAACCACAGGAAAGTTCCATGGAGAATAGACATATGTGTTGTAATAAAAATAGATTTTTATAAATTTTTAAACTAAGAAATATTATTCAATTGTTGCCTGAACTAATAATATGAATAGATTATTTACAAAGAATACAACCGCAACTCACAGTCGTATGCCCCTGTCCATTTGGAAGAAACATCTTAGTTTTTACAACTCTTAAACAATTAAATATCTGATTGGAATGTGTAATAATTTGACAGCGTAACCAACAACACCCATCATAACGAAGCCGACACCAACAGCTCTAATGATCTTCATATATTCTATGTCAATGTTAGTACTTACTTATTTCTTATTAACAACCCATGATATGGCAAAAAGGTATCATCGATCATCTGTAGCTTTCGTGCTTGTACATACCTTTCTTGTCTGGCTTTTGACATTTCTTAATGAATGCACTACCATCTTTAAAGAATTCAAGTGGAACTTCAGTAAGCTTTTCTAATCCTTCAGAAGCCATTTTATGTTATTTCTATATTATAGATAGTTTAATGAGTCTAGGTACAACATTAATTATGTCCGATGTTTGACCAACGCGATTATGGACAAGGTGTTCGACCAGATTTTTCTGGTTCGCGCACAACTTACACTAATAATAATAGGAAAATGACGATTTTACTATATAATCTATACATGAATATTGGTTTAAAATAAGTCTAAAAGCTTTTCATCATCCTCAGTCTTTTGTTTAATCATAACTTCCTCTCTCTTCTTTTCCATCATATCCCTGTATTGCGGAATTATGGTATTTTTAAACCATTGAGACGTAGTATTGTGCATCTGTTGATTTAATGCCCATTCGTCGATTAATGGTTGGCATTGGCCAGCATAACCCGCCTTCCATTTGACATTAATTAACTCGCGCAATGCAATATTATATAATGAATAAACACTCTCATCAGTATCGTTAAGTTTATTAGTTGTCAAATGTATTTTATTGAAGGAATTTTTCGAAACATGATAATAATGGTATTGCTTGGCCAACAAGCTCATAACTTCATAAAACTTCTCTTCCGTTTGATCCTCAAGCAAATAGTTCAAGTAAACTTTATATGATTTTGGAGAGAAGAAAGTATTTGTGTCTTTGTGAAGTTCCCATAACTTGTCCATGGTCGTCAATCTTTTAGACTTGAGTTCACTAATAAACAATAAGAATCCCTCATAATCAAAATCAACATTTTCTTGTGCCTCCTTAAGACTAGGCTTCTTTTTCTTACGTGTGCTGGTATCTGTTGTTTGCTTTATATAATACGAAAGTGCTCTTTCCTCGTCAAATTTAGTTGATATATCACACCATTTAAAAGTACTATCCCAAAAGTTTTTGGCCTTTGCACTGGATAAATCGATTGACTCACCATATATTTTTTGGAATGCATTTACATATGTCATGGCCTGGAAGAATTCTTGATTGTATGACAATGATATAACTATTGCCTTCAAAGTATTTAAGCTAGGAAATTTAGGATCATCACTCTTCAATATAATGAAATTCTCCGACACGTTACCATCTGGTGTTATACCCCAGATACTTTCGATATATTTTGTTAAATAATCAAGGTTTCTTGAATATCCTATGGAATAAATAAGCACCTCATTTAATTTGTCACTTATTACCGCTGTATTACTACTTTTACCGTGATTCTTTAAAAACTCTGTGAATACTTCCAACCACGAAGTTTCTGATTTGAATGCACTTTTTCGAGGATTATAATAATTCGCATATAAATCTGTTTGGGGTATCTTCCATAAAAACGGTGAACCTCCGCAATATACCTGAAACTTTAATACCCACATATTATAAGTCATTAATTCATAGTGTTGGCCTTGAGGATATTGTTGTTCAAATCTTTGAAACCATTTTGATGCCAAATCAATTTTCTTGTTGTACAATTCAAGCATTATTAAGTTCTCATAGTCAGTAACTGACAATTTGTACCCTGTTAAATCGTTAGAATTATATAGACTGGATCTCATAGTCACAGCGTATATAGAAGATTGTCCATCCGAATATATTAAATTCCCATAGAGTTTTCTTATTTTTTCACGGAATCGCCTTGCTTCTGCTAGCTTGCTTTTAATTTTAGTGTCTGACCGTAATGAAATTTTATGATCTGCTGCTTGATTAATTAATTTTATTTGATGCTTGATAATATCACGAATAAAATATGAGAGCTCTTGGCTAGTCAATATTGATGACCACAGGCTGCTTTCCGCCCTCGAAGTTAATTTCAAAAATAAGTCTATCAAAGTATCAAACTGTCTTAATTCAACTAACTTGCATAATTCTCTCTTGATTACTTCATTTTTTGGTAATGTACTTCCCGTCTTAATTGTGGGAGCAAAATAACTTTCTGATAAAGAGTTTAAGAATAACTGTGATGGCGTATTTCTCGAGGTATTAAATGCATTATTGGGTATAGTTCGGCTGGTTTTAGTGGTTGAGTGTGACTCAAATGAACCAACAATTTCATCATTTAGGCTAGCCGCAGGGGAAGAAACAAATCTTTTCGAAATGGATAATCCTGTTACTTTCTGACCCCTCCTCAACGCATAAGCCATCCTTTGTAGTATTAGTTTGTATAGATTATATCAACGGTATCTTGAAGGTAAATCAAATGAAAAAAAATTCGAACACTAACACAAAATCTAGTTAGTATTGTTTACCCGGATACAAGATCAAATAGATAAATAATTCTTAAGGTATTATATTCACATAGGTGTAGATGAAATACGGCTAAAGAAGAGTACTAGTCTACACCTTTATAGTTTTACGGACGTAATATTTATACTGACTAAAGTTTAATACCCGACATTGCTCTTATAAATCTTCCGTCAATATGAGTAGCATTATAATGTGCTATATTCTTCAACCCTTCGGATGGTGAACCATTATCAACAATAGATTGAATACTTTCCTTAGTTCCCTTGATAGCCCATTGTTGATGCTGATTAATATTTTCACCTAAGTTTTTGCAATAGTCAACTCCTGCGTTTAGATCTGGAAGGACAGCACTAACAAAACCTAATTTGGTGGCTTCATCAGCACCAAAAACACCACCGGTCAAAGCATATTGGTACATCAATGACTTGTTGTTGACTATGGATGGCATTCTTTGTAATGAACCAATATCGGCCGGAATCCCAATCTTGATCTCTCTTATAGAGAACTTGCAATCAGCAGTCGCGACTCTTATGGAACATGCTGAGGAAATGTCTAACGCCAATCCGTAATTGATCCCATTCATTAAGCAAATTGTAGGAGTTCTAATCCGAGCAGGTGTAGCAATGCAATATTGAAAATCAACAATATGTTTATGCAAAGAATCATATCTTTCTTTTTCAGAATTCAGTACAGTACTTGTCATAGTTTTAATTGCATCCTTCAAATCTAACCCACTGGAAAAAGCCTTTGGAACTGCAGATGAGATCAAAATTACACTAGTCTCCTCAAATTTATCTAACTTTTCTAATATCTCTGCATAGTCTCTCCAAATTTGTTCTGTAAATGCATTTAAGGATTTCGGATTGTTGAATTGTACATGGTAGAATCCTTCTTCTACTTCACTAACAATAAACTTATCATACTTTTTGTAGTCATCTAAATTAAATTCACTCATCTCTCATATATTCTTACTATAGTATATGTCTATTAAGATATTCAGAAGAGAGGAATTTATCAAGCTATATATTTTATGTTATCTCCACCATTTATCGTCACAAATAGTTTTACCGAGGAAGATTATATTTTCACGTGCATAACTAGAATTGCAACCTTTGTGCTCTTTGGCATATAGATAAAATTATGGAAGATAACTATCAGATCTAAACTGTATACTTCCCTGTTGGACCCATTGATTCCTCTTTAGCAGCTACTTCTAATCCTTCAATCATTTTTTCTCTTAACAATATTATCGCGTCATGAACCGCTTTTTCTGTTAATCCTTCTACTAGTAAGTATAATTTAGGAGGTGGAGTAACCTCTTTACCATTCTGTTTAATGATTTTAGGAATTTTTGAATTTGGGGGATAATAATTCCCCTTGTTCGTAATGGAAGTTCCTGTGGATTCTATCACTTTAGATAAACTGTCACGATTAACAGTAATCCATCTGGCCTTTTGTGGCAAGTCATTAATAGTGATTCTAGAATGGAACTTACATTTATCTGGTCCTGCCGTTTCTGGAGCTCTTCCCTCAATGATATGAAAGTCTGGTAGTTTGACATCAAAATCAGATTGATGACCGTCTGTTTTAGTTTGCTTCTTTTCATTAACTTTGAAAGCTGAGGAATCACTTTCTTCGCCATAAACTTTTCTCTCCAAGTCCCTGTTGCTCTCCCTGATTTCCTGTAAGTTATCTAATCCTTTCCCACTAAACCCGAAATTGTATTTTTCTTTTCCTGATTTTACTTCCTCTAAGAATTTCGTACTGATTTCAATCAATTTTGGGTTAATTTCATCCTCGGATACTTTGCTCAATCTCATAGCCTTAACCAAATCCGTAATAGCTCTTCCTTGTTTTGAAGAAACAAATGTGATCGCCGTCCCTTTCTTCCCTGCCCTACCGGTTCTTCCAACTCTGTGAACATAATCCTCCATGTGATTTGCTGCTTCATAATTTATTACTAAGTTTAAACCTTTAACATCTAATCCTCTAGCAGCGATTGAGGTGGCAATTAAAATGTTTACTCCACTATTTGACGAAGAAAATTCTCTTATTGCATGCTTACGATCTATTTGGTCCTTTCCTCCATGAATGGCAAGGCATGGATATTTTTCTGTCAATAACTTGACTAGCAACTCATCTGCAGCATTTTGTTTTTCCACAAATATTAATATCTTACAATCAGCATCTTTATCTCCATATTCGTTTAATATGCCCAATAATTTAGAGAATTTAGCTTCTTCTAAGCTTTTATCATCTTCATTTTCAAATAACTCTACTTTCTGAGTAATTTCAGATGCAACAACACTAATGCCTCCAACAACAATCTCCATCGGATTATCTAAAATTTTTTTTGCAAGTAGTTCCATTTTTCTAGGAAACGTTGCTGAAAATAACACGGTTTGTCTATCTGGTCTCACTCTGGTGAAAACTTTAGTTACTTGTGGTTCAAACCCCATATCAAACATTCTATCAGCTTCATCTAATACCAAGTAAGTCACCCTTTGCAAATTGGTTACTCGACCATTATTTGCAGCCAATAGATCGATTATTCTCCCTGGTGTACCAACAATTATCTGTGCCCCTTTCTTTAATTCAGCAATTTGAGATTCTATGGATGAACCACCAAAGCAACAACAAGATGATATATTTAACTTTTTGGTAAAATGGCTCAACTCCTTGTGTATTTGCAAAGCAAGTTCCCTTGTGGGTGTCATTATCAAACCGATTGGACCATCGCCTTTTTTCAAGGGTGGCTGATCTTGAATATGTCTCAATAATGGCAAAACAAAGGATAA